TACAGTGGTTTTAAAATTAGTTTCAGGTAGGTAGAATTGTACATGCCCATAGTCCCAGCTTTACTTTGAAAGCTAAGACAAAAGAATCCTTTGAGCAGAGGAGTTCAAGGCTGCAGTGAGCTATGACAGCACCAATGCACTCCAGCATGGGCGGCAGAGGAAAAATCTACCTCCAAAAAAATTCATTAATTTTAAAAAATAAAAACTTAAAAAAATTAAATCAATTGAATTACATATGTAAATTTTTAGCACAGTACCTGACATATACTAAGTGTGACATTATTATGCTGTTTATTAACTATCATTACCTGTGAAACAGAAAAATGGAAATAGCTATTCTTATAAGACTGTGTTGAAAAACAAGTAAGAGAAGCCAGTTTGTATACGGTAAATGCCATCAAGAATGAAAAAAACAAAAACTTCATTTTCCCATTCCAAGTTACTTTTTGTTTTTTGAGATGGGGTTTTGCTCTTGTTGCCCAGTCTGTGAAGTTGCAATCTCACTTCACTCCAACTTCCACCTTCAGAGTTCAAGCTATTCTCCTGTCTCAGCCTCCTGAATAGCTAGGTATTTTTAGTAGAGATGGGGACACAGTGAGCCGACACTGTGCCATTGCACTACAGCCTGGGAAACGAGTGAAATGCTCTCTCAAAAATAAATAAATAAATAAATAAATTAGAATAAGCATAGTACCTTTAACTTAGGGCTCCTAAAACCCAGACTCATCAGGTACAAAGTGTGAATACCCCCTGCTGAGAGATCACACAGAAAGCTCTGACACTACACACAGAGGGAAAGAGCCAGCTGAGCCCAGCCTTTAAGCAGTCTTTGAAGAGGCATGTGAATGAAGGAGGCATGTGAATGGAGGCATTGTGGAAGTGGATCCTCCAGCACTGGCCACCTGTGCTGACAGCATGTACACCAGAGAAAAATGGCCCAGGTGAACACTTCCAAATTCTCCTGACTCATAAAACTGTCAACAAACAAAATTATTCTACGAAGCCAGTAAGTTTTGCGGTGGTTTGTTATGTACTGACAGATAACTGAAACAGAGCTCAGATTTTATTTTCTAGCCAATGGGAAAGCAATGCAATGACAGCTGTGCTTTCGAAAAATCAACCTGGCTGCAACATGTAAGATGGCCTGTAGGAGACAACTGGTGCCAGGAAACCCAGGAAACAAGAGCCAACAGAACCTAGGGGGAGGAATAAAAATAAGAGACACTGACTGCAGGGTTAGAGTCAATGGGATTTGTGTATGTAATTGACCATCAGGGCAGGAAGAAAGGAATCAAAGTTGACCTAGATGCTGAGATCAGGTGACCACAGAAGAGTGATGCTATTAAGGATGAACAAAGCAGATGATGAGTTCAGAGAAAAAAAAACTGTGTTAACTTAATATGTGGGCAAGATAAGGTAAAATAATATCCATGATTACGATATAATTATGCAAACAATTAGTCTAGAATTTAAAAGCTCTAAGAAACCTATCATCAGTGTATTTTCACAACAGCAAAGATTTTCAATCAAAAATTAAATTCATAATCTTCAGTGGGCACGCTAAATAGTTTAACATAAAACATCAAGATTTTCCTCAACTGTCCATTGAAAATTGGTTTAGAAACTAGGATAGATAAGTACATCCTCATGTGTGGAGGATAAAATCAATTTTTCAACGATCATTTTAGAACTGAATCTTCTGTGACCAAAGGATCTGCTTCTGCTTCTAGCTCAAGTACTGCCTTACAGGCTCCGTCCCTTGACACATTTTCATATAGCATGATTTCTTTTAAACCACAAATCTCACCATGGTAGAACCGAAATCCTTACCATCGCCTACAAAACGCTACCATCACAGGACCCTGCTGACGCAGCGGATCTTACCTCATACCTTCCTTCCCTTTAGCCCCTGCATTCACTATTCAGTAGTAACAATGGTTCAGCTCCTAGAACATATGATGACATGCTCCTTTTTTCCAGTTCAGGCTCTTCCCTAGCTGCACTACTCTTCTTCACTGCCTCTTGGACCAAATTAACTCGATTCATCATTGGGTTCTTTGCTTTCTCCTCAGAGAAAAATTGTTCCTGACTATTCCCTAGATGTTCCTCCTCTAGTCCAATCATACGACGTACCTCATTTCTTCAAAGTACTAACAACAATTTCATATACTTCTTTAGTGCAATTCATATACTTCTATGTGCAATTTCGGTCTCCTCTGCTAAAACTTAAGTTCCAAAAAGTGTTAACACCAAAGTGTTACCTGATCCCAAAGCCCCAGGACATAGCACACTGGCTGGCACATAGTAGATGCTCTTCAACAAATGTACTTTCTGAATAAATAGCACTCACAGGTATTGCAGGATAATCGGTGGCAATGAACTCTGGGTCCAAACTGAGTTCAAGTTCCATGCTGACCCTTACAAGTTTTGGGACTAGGTATTTTTCAGCACCTCAGTTTCTTTTTTTTAATTATTATTTTTGAGATGGAGTCTCACTCTGTTGCGAAGGCGGGAGTGCAGTGCCGCGATCTCGGCTCACTGCAACCTCCACCTCCCATATTGAAGCGATTTTCCCTGCCTCCGCCTCCAGGGTAGCTGGGATTACAGGCTGGCACCACCAGGCCCCGCTAATTTTTAGTTTTTGTATTTTTAGTAGAGATGGGTTTCACCCTGTTTGCCAGGCTAGTATGGAACTGCCGACCTCAGGTGATCCACCTGCCTTGACTTCCCAAAGTGCTTGGATTAGAGGTGTGAGCCACTGCGCCTGGCCTTATTTATTTATTTTTGTTGAGACAGATCTCGTCTGTCCTCACCCAGGCTGAGTATAGTGGCATGATCTTGGATCACTGCAACCTCCGCCTCCTCTCCTGAATTCATGCGATTCTCCTACTTCAGCCTCCTGAGTAGCTGGGATTACAGGCATGCACCATCACACCTGGCTAATTTTTGCATTTTTAGTAGAGATGGGCTTTCACCATGTTGGCCAGGATGGTCTTGAACTCCTGACCTCAAATCATCCACATGCCTCGGCCTCCCAAAGTGCTGGGATGACAGGCGTGAGCCACCATGGCCCTCTATGTTCTATTATTTTTTAACAATAACGCTGATATAATGATGTCACGTATGACAATGAATGTCTCTAAAGATCTAGAATATAGTAACGCCTAGAATTTTATAAACACATTAAATAGTAGCTCATAGTAGAGTTAGCAAACACCAGCTCTCTCAAAGATCCTATTCATTAACTTTCAATCTGCCTCACCCATTCCTAGCCCTTCTTTATCAAATTTCTCCATAGGGGATTCAGGGGTTTTCTTCTGTTAGCTCCTGCTACTTTTATCAGGGTAAAAATCTAAAGCCTCGAATGAGGTTTACCAGGGGGTCCAAAATCTGGCCCAGACTCTCCAGACATTTCCTCAAATCCACCACCACTCCCCACATCCTAGGTGCAATAAATTACGAAATGCAAAGTCCAAGGCAAAGCCAGGCCATTTCTTAGTCTTCTTCCTTAAGGCAAGCTGACTAAATCGAGGTGTTTCATAAAATACTCCCGGTCCTCTCTCCCTTTTCAGCCGGAAAAGAATGTTCTGGCAGAGCGTGGTGGCTCCAGCCCATAATTCTTGCACTTTGAGAGGCTGAGGATCACTCAAACCCACCAGCAGGGCAGCATAATGAGACTCTGTCTCCCCACCAATCCCCCCCCCAAAAAAAAATAGCCAGGCATGGTGTCGCGTGCCACTAGTCCCAGTTACTAGGAAGGCTGAAGTTGGAGGATACCTGATCCCGGAAGGCAGATGTTGCAGTGAGCTGAGATGGCAACACTGCACCCCAACCTGGGCGACAGAGCGAGACTCTGTCTCAAAAAACAAAACAAAGCAAAAAAAAAGTTCTGGTCCAGCGCGTTGGCTCACACCTGTAATCCCAGCATTGTGGGAGGCTGAGCCGGAAGATCACTTGATTTCGAGACCCGCCCGGCCAACGTCCTTAAACCCCATCTCTAGGAAAAATACACAAATTAGCCGGATGTGGTGGCGAGCGCCTGTAGTCCCAGCTACTCCGGGGCCGAGGCAGGAGAATCGCTCGAACCGGGAGGCAGAGGTTGCAGAGATCTCGAACCGAGATCGCGCCATTGCACTCCACCACGGGAGAAAGAGCAAGACTCTGTCTCAAAAAAAGAAAAAATAGTAACAAAAGAAAAAGAAAACGAGAAAAAAGAACGCTCTCTGCACGATCAAAGTACCTAGGACAACTGCTACCAAGGCCCTTAGGAATTCACAGCCCTGGCGGACGTATCAGAAATTTCTCTAACCCGCACGCCGCGCACGCGCCGGGATTGGTTGCAAGTAGCCCGAAGTCTTGGATCACCGTTCCACCGGGACGAGGGCCACCACGCCGCGGAAACAGCAGCCTCGCTTCCTGCCCAGCGCCCGGGCACCCGAGCCGGGCAACCCCCAGCTCCCCGCAAAAGGGTTTGACGCACTTGCAGTGCCCTCGCCAGTGCCGAGTGACGGTCACCAACTTTCGCTGAACAACACCCGCTCTAGATATGAGGGGAAAAGGGGAAAACCGCCGCCCGCCCGGGCTGGGGTTCACAGGCACGGGCCGCCTCCCACCGCTCCTCCAGGCCGCGCTCGGGTGCACGGACACCGCCTCCGCGGCGGCCTCGGGCCGTGTGGAGAAAAGCGCGGACTCCCGGGCTGTCGCCCTCGCGCAGCGGTCCCGACGGGCCGGCCTGCGAAACTTCGCGAAGTGACCGGAGGAGATCGCCCGGCCTCCCAGCGCCTTTGTCGGTCCCGCCTCGCCACGGCACGGGGCTCAGAGACGCCCAGTCCCCGGGCCTGATCCTGCCCGGGCGTCGGCCAGCGCCCCTCAGCTCCGAGGCCCTCACGGCCCGCGCCCCCGCCCCCACCTCCGGGGCTCCACGGAGGCGCCCCGCGGAGAGGCCGCCTCGCTTCACAGACCTGCCCAGGAGCCCGAACGCGCCCGCGGCCGACACTCACTCGCCACTCAACTCCCCGGCTAGCCAGGCGGGCTCGGCGGCCTTCGCTGCCGCGGCGCTTACTCCTCAGAAGCGGCAGCTGTGAGCTCCGTCGCCACAGCTGAGGCAGCCGCTGCACTCCTTCCGGCCCTGCCGCGGCGTCACCTCGCGCCTGCGCACAGCGCCCCCTCCCGACTAAGGACAGGAAGAACCATAGAGGCACGCGGGGTGCTGGGGCGGAGGGACCCGGGGGCTCACCATAGAGAGGGCCGCCTAGCCGCGCTTGCATCCGGGCTCTCCGCCTGCGGAGACTTGACTCCCCCACGAGGCGGGAAGATGGAAGGAACGGAGACCCCCATCCCGGACCACACAGGGAGCCGCCATCTCCCCAGAGCTGAAAAGGGTATGGGGCACGCGGTTGTGGACTTGTTATCTATTTATTTGCCCTCGTTCCTTTGCAAGTCATTCGTTCATTCTAAAAATATATGCTGTGGATTTCCTGTGGGCCACGCACTGTTCTAGGAATTGGGGAAAGTAAGAGTAAAGTGGGTTCCATGGCCGGGCACAGTGGCTCACACCTGTAATCCAAGAATTTTGGAGGTCGAGGTGGGCAGATCACTTGAGGTCAGGCGTTGGAGGCTAGCCTGTTCAACATGGTGAAACCCTGTCTCTACTAAAAATACAAAAATTAGCTGGGCATGGTGGCGCCTACCTGTAATCCCCAGCTACTCGGGAGGCTGAGGCAGCAGACTTGCCTGAACCCAGGAGGCGGAGGTTGCGGTGAGCCGAGATCGCGCCATTGCACTCCAGCCTGGGTAACAAGAGCGAAACTCCGTCTCAAAAAAAAAAAAAAAAAAAAAAAATTAGCCAGGGCTTTGTGGTGAGCTAATCCTAGCTACTCAAGAGGATGAGGCAGTAAAATCACTTGAACCTGGGAGGCGGAGGTTGTAGTGAACTGAGATTGTGCCACTGGACTCTAGCCTAGGCAACAGAGCGATATTCTGTCTAAAAAAAAAAGGAGTAAAAGGTGTTTCTGGTCTCAGGAAATTTAAGTTTTAGTGAGTAAGTGAATAACTGACTCAAATACTGCTTCTGCTGGGCATAGCTCGTGTCCATAATCCCAGCACTTTGGGAGGCCAAGGCAGGAGGATCTCTTGAGGCCAGAAGTTCAAGACCAGCCTTGGCAACATACCAAGACCCTGACTCAAAAAAAATTGCTGGCCTGGCATGGTCGCTTGCTCAACACCTGTAATCCCAACACTTTGGGAGGTAGAGGTGGGAGGATGGCTTGAAGCCAGGAGTTCGAGACCATCCTGGACAGCATAGTGAGACTCCATCTTTACAAAAATAAAAAATTAGCTGGGCATGGTGGTGCGCACCTGTAGTCCCAGCTACTAAGGAGGCTGAGGTGGGAGGATTGATTGTTTGAACCCAGGAGTCTGAGACTGCAGTGAGCTGTGATCACATTACCGCACTCCAGCCTGGGTGACAGAACAACAGCCTGTCTCAAAAGAAACAAACAAAAACCAAACAGTAACGGAAATGGGAGGAGCAATAGTCTTGATGCAGCAGTGAGGGTTCCTTCTCCAAGACCGTAGAGCGTGGCTTATGGGGCTTGTATGGGACAGAAAAAGGCCACTCCTGAGAGTACCTTGGGGAAGCAGTTCCTGAGGTAATAGTCATGTCCTAAGGTTAATAGTCATGTTTCGGTGAAGTAGAAATTGAAGGGCTGCGGCTGGGCATGGTGGCTCATGCCTGTAGTCCCAGTACTTTGGGTGGCTGAGGTGGGTGGATCACCCGAGGTTGGGAGTTGAAGACAAGTCTGACCAACATGGAGGAAACCTCTTCTCTACTAAAAATACAAAATTAGCTGGGTGCCGTTGTGGGCTCCTGTAATCCCAGCTACTCAGGAGGCTGAGGCAGGAGAATCACTTGCACCCAGGAGGCAGAGGTTGCAGTGAGCCAAGGTCGTGCCATTGCACTCCAGCTTAGGCAACAAGAGCAAAACTCCATCTCAGGAAAAAAAAGAAAGAAAAAGAAAAATTAAAGGGCTGCTCACAGAACAGGACAAGGATCTAGGGATCTTACAGACGTCGGGCCCTGAATTAGAGGGTGTAATGCACGGGATGCATTAGAGGGTGGACAGGAGAGAGAACTTAAGATAGACACTTTTCTGGGGATGAGATCCTGAAATAACCTGAAAAGTGAAACAAGGGGATTGGCCTTGATGGGCTTATCCTCCATGCTGGTCCTCTTAGGGGAGGTGGATAATCGCTGTCAGTTCCAGCCTCTTTCTTAGGATAGTCCTCATAAGCCCTTTGAGATATTGGAAGAAGGCAGTATTGGAAGGAGAGCTTGGTGATCTTAGCAGGAGTGCAAGCTTCTTTCCAGAAAGAACCTTGGTGTCACATCCAAGGCAGGTATGGTTGAGTAACCACTCTGAGTCTAGAATTTTTTATTTGTTCAGGCTCTTTGGAGACTCTGACTCAGACATAACAGCAATGAGAAGAGAGACTTTATGTATGTATGTATGTATATATGTATTTATTTTTGAGACGGGGTCTCCTTCTGTCACCCAGGCTGGAGTGCAGTGGCACGGCCTTAACTCACTGCAACCTCTACTTCCCAGGTTCAAGAGATTCTCCTGGCTCAGCCTCCAGAGTAGCTGGGATTACAGACACCCACCACCACACCCAGCTAATTTGTAAAATATTTTTTGTAGACATGGGGTTTCACCATGTTGGCCAGGCTGGTCTCAAACTCCTGACCTCAGGCGACTCGCCTGCCTCGGCCCAAAGTGCTGGGATTACAGGTGTGAGCCACCATGCCTGGCCTTTATTTTTGAAGTTTAATTTTAAAAATATTAAAAGATAGCCGGGTGTGTTGACGCACGCTTGTAGTCTCAGATACTCTGGAGACTGAGGCAGGAGAATCACTTTAACCCAGGAGGTGGAGGTTGCAGTGAGCCAAGATTATGCCACTGCACTCCAGCCAGGGTAACAGAGCAAAACTCCATATGAAAAAAAAAATTAATAGAAACAGTAGCTCACATCGGTAATCCCAGCACTTTGGGAGCTGAGGTGGGAGAATCACGAGGTCAAGAGATCGAGATCATCCTGGCCAACATGGTGAAACCCCTGTCTCTACTAAAAATACAAAAATTAGCTGGGCGTGGTGGCAGCATGTACCTATAGTCCCAGCTGCTCTGGAGGCTGGGGCAGGCGAATCGCTTGAACCGGGGAGGTGGAGTTTGCGGTGAGCTGAGATTGCGCCATCACTGCACTCCCGCCTCGACAGATAGACTCCGTCTCAAAAAAAAGAAAGAAAGAAAGAAACAGGGTCTTGCTCTATTATTGCCCAGGCTGGTCGCAAACTCCTGGCTTCAAGCCATCTTGCCTTGGAATTGCCACAGCTGGCTGTGAATTTTTTAGTTATAAAATGGGAATTTTAAGATACTATCTATTGCTCAGTGTTCTTGCAAGGATGAAATGGGATCTTGTATGAATGGAAAAGCTCTCATAGGAGTTGTTTACATGTTGTTGGTGTCTTAAGCATTTTCAGAGTCATAAAGATAATTATTCTATCTCCGCGTATCTCCCAGTGAAGGCGAGAGGAAGCTACACCCTCCTTCTAGGTTGCTGGAATCAATCTGGTTATTTTTGAAGGTTTTTTTTTTTGTTTGAAATGGAATCGCTCCTGTAGCCCAGGCTGGAGTACAATGGCATGATCTTGGCTCACTGCAACCTTGGCTTCCCAAGTTCAAGTGATTCTCGTGCCTCAGTCTCCCGAGTAGCTGGGATTACAGGCACCCGACATTACATCCACCTATTTTTTGTATTTTTAGTAGAGACAGGATTTCACCATATTGGCCAGGCTAGTCTCAAACTCCTGACCTCAGGTGATCTGCCCGCCTTGGCCTCCCAACGTGCTGGAATTAGAGGAGTGAGCCACTGCGCCTGGCCCTGGTTTTTGTTTTATTTTGTTTGTTTGTTTTAAAGTTGGGGTCTCACTCTGTCACCCAAGCTAGAGTGCAGTGATGCAATCGCGATCATAGTTCACTGCAGCCTTGACCTCCCAGGCTCAAGTGATCCTCCCACCCCAGCCTGCTGAGTAGCTGAGACTACAGGTGTGTGCCACCACACCTGGATAATTTTTTAATTTGTTTGTATAGATGGGCTCTTGCTCTGTTGCTCAGGATGGTCTCAAAGTCTTGGCCTCGAGCAATCCTCCTATCTCGGCCTTCTAAAGTGTTGAGACTATAGACTTGAGCTACAGCACCTGGCCTGTTTTTTTTTTTTTTTTTGTCTTAATGTTAAACAGCACAAGGAATCAGAAAGGTCAAGATGTCTACCTGCAGACTAAACCATTGTCAACGAGTGATGTTTTCCTGTTTTCCTGGGAAGAAGCGTGAAAGTTCTATCTATGAAAATCCGCATCATCCGTGCTGGCTGTAATTCCATGTAGTTATGGCCAAAGGCGTGAAACATGCACTCACCCCAGAGCCTGCCAGAGAGCCGAGGCTGGAACTCACACTCCCCTGTGAGTCATCACCGTGCTGCTTCATTTCATTTTCTGGCTACAGTTAGTTTAATGTGCATGTGACCTGTGAAACCATTTACGGTAGTGGAGGACCGCCATTATTCACAATTTGCACATCATCATTTTGTTTGCAAGAGCTGTCATCAGCCTTATCTAGATGAAGGTGTGCTGGTCTTGTCATAGAGGAAATTATTCCTGAACTCATTCTGCTTTCAGAAGCAGTAATTTCCTGCCATTTTGTCCCATTATCTGTTAAAAAAAAAATCAATGTTATTCAGGTGCAGTTTATATACAGTACAAGGCACCCAGTTTAAGTGAACCTTTCTCTCAGTTTTGACAAATGTATACACCCTTGTAACCACCCCGCAATCAAGATAGAGATCATTTCCGCCACCCCAAACTATTCCATAACCCCCATCCCTGGTGCTAGGCAACCACCCGCTTTTTGGCACTTTATTTATTTATTTATTTTGAGGTGGAGTTTCGCTCTGTCATCCAGGCTGGAGTGCAACAGTACAATCTTGGCTCACCACAACCTCTCTCTCCTGGGTTCAAGTGATTCTCCTGTCTCAGCCTTCTGAGT